GCCTACAGCTCCCGGCGTGCCCCGGGGCGGAGGAGGCGGCCGGGCCTCGGCGGGGAGGGAGCTCCGCGTCCCGTCAGCGCCGCGGCGGGACGGCGCCCCCCCGCCGCAGCCCTCGGCGAGAGCGATAGGCTGCAGCGCGCTGGAACGCCGCGAGGGGAGAGGCCGTGAACAATTTAATAAAATCCAGTGTTCCGGCTGGAGCCGCCGGCCGCCCTGCGGGCACAACGCGGTGCGAGCACCTGGCATCGCTCCCCGCCCGCAGCCGTTTGCCAGGGGCGGACGAGGAGGGTGCGGGGAGGCTTCCTCCTCTCCGAAGCCCCCGGCCGCCCGCTCGCTGCGAGGGGCGTGACGGCCGGCCGTGCGGGGGGTCCGCCCGCCCGCCCGCCGCGGGAGAACGTTCTCCCGTGCTTTGCCCGCTCCGCGCCGCTGTAACCGAAAGCACCGGCTGTCTCCTCGCACGGAGGAAACTGCTGTAATTGAGTAGACCTCATGGATAAGTCATTGGGGGAAAAAAAACCAAGTCACCTTCGTTCTTTTTCCACCCTCGTTATTTTATCACTGCATATAAAATACAGAATTTTATCAGCGCGTAACATACGAATATACAACATAAAAAATAACTAGAACCATTATTAGACAGAGACCGTAAACCCGTCAGCGCTGAAAAAAAATAATGCAGTGAGGTTCATTAAGTATTGCTCTTCTGTATTTGGCAAGAAGGATGACGTAATTCTGTTGCGAAAACATCACAAAGTACCTTCAGTCTACTCACAACTGGAAAAAGTTCAGTATCTAATAGGAAGTATTTTTGACTGTACCTAACTGTCCTTTAAAAAACCCAAACTCTCTTGTTTGCCGATCTGAAAAATTTAACAAATTCTGGAATACCAAGGAACTCCAGAAACTTCAAGCAGTGTTAATATCATGGAGTCAAGTGAAATAAGCCATGTGACAGCAGATTACCACCCACCTACAGTCTCCATTATCCATCTACTGTCCTAAATATCATCCCATTCCTGAGCAAAATAGTAGAAAAGCTGGTGAAGGAATAAGTTTTTATTAATAAATAAAAGGACAAATTGAATGGCCATGGCCATAGGAAGACAATGAGTCTCAAACAATCCTGATTACCAAATCTATTCAGTTACTTTTACTTTAAAAAAGTATTTAGAATCCCACCTTTGTAAGCCACCTGACTATGCCATGGCAATAAAATATAGACTGATGCACTAGTAAACAGTGCACCTGTTAGGGGAATACAGCTTGCTAAGCCAAAACACAGCTGCAGAAGAGGCATCAGTCAGGAATTGTAAGCAAATGGTAACGCTTTTAGTGAGAACCTGCAGAATCGATTCACTATTGTGGCAATTAAATATTGCAGTGATCTGCAAGCTGAATCACCCTACCCTCCTATATTAAGCGGGCTCTAGCATTCATTGGGACCTGTCTGTAAACTATTCTAATTAATAATCTGGCATAACATTAGCGCCATTTAAAAAAAAAGCTTTTAAAAAAAAAACAAAACACAAAACAAAAAACAAATCAGAGCAATGGATAGCTTTCTGCTGGCTTAGTGAGGTGTCCTTGCTCAGCAAGGGTTCTGATGAATACCAGAAAAGGATGGGGGAAGAAGTGGACAACACGAGTGAAACTCATGTTTTCTGGAGTGGCCAATTGTTAGATCAGCTCATCCACCTGATTTGAATTTGCCCTGAAGATTGAGGACTCATAAAATACAGGAGGTACAATGTGGTATCTCAGTGATATGTTTTGGAATCGGAGCAGACAAGCATCTAATTCCTATGATTGTGGAAGGTGCAACAACCCTGACGCCACAATTTACCATTGCACAAAAGGTCCAGTTAGGAAACCTTTTCTCACTCCCAACATGACATCATTGCAAAAATTGAATATAATAGAAAATGTATAAATGGGGAAACAGGGGGCTAGGGGTAAAAGGAATTTTTTTTTCCTTAGTATAGCCATTGCTACAACAAATTCAGGTATTCTAAATGTAATTCTCTAAAATGTCATTGCTAGAACACAAGGAAAAATGAGAATAGAGCCTCAGAACAGAATGAACAGCTCACACCTCTTCACCCTCACCTGTTTCACATTAAGAATTTATTTGTATTCCTGCTTTGTTCAAGTTTTAGAAAAAATCTCAGGATTTTGCCTTCTGTGTTTTCACTGAGCCTCCTCGACACCAGCTAAGTTTGCCAGCAGTAGGGACTCAAATTGACACAAAGACAGCATGCGGTTCTGCTGCAATTCCAAGTTCTTCAGTTGAGTATCAAATCTGTAACTGACTACACCACCATTTTTAAGCCTGCTTATCACACTGATAACACTGTCAGTTCTGTAAACATTATTTCAAATTCACTGATGTAAACACGCTTCATCATTACTATTAAGTATTAGATGATTACATCAGAGCATAATCTAATGAGAGCATGGCATTTTCTGTTCTCTCCATGTCACTGATCTTTTAAAAGCATCAGCTAGATCATTCATATGCATTGTCATCACTGCAGCAAGAAGACAGAAAAAGGAATAGACATGTTGTTATAAAACAACAAAGTTTATTTTCTAACAAAAATTTAAAAAATTAGACTACAGGAATGTAACTGCTTTCTCAAGCCAAAAACTGAAAAGGTTCTAAAGGCCTATTTAATCTACTAGCACAAACGTTACCAGACACAGAATTTAATTCCTAATAAAAAAAACAAAACCCTGAAGAAATTAGGCATATATGTTCAAACACTGGTGCAATTCGTAACAGTACAACCAAAGCAGCAGTAAATTTTCCATTTCTTGATAGTTTCAAGTCAAGACAGGATGATTAAAGCTGATACCTAGAGAAAGCTGAGCAGCTGCATTTTTCATAACACAACTGGGCAAAATTAATGGCCAACAGTCATTGTTTTGCAAACTACACAGCTCTGAAGGGTTACTTCACTAACAGAGCCACCTTTTCAGTTCAAAGTTAGCTTCAGCAAAGTTACTTTGCACAAACGTCCCAGTGAACTCCCCAGACGTCAGACTGCATTGACTGTCAGTAGATTTCCATACCACAGAATTTTCAAAGGCCAGTGTTCGTTAAAGGCTTCTTTGGAGAACAGAAACATCCCGCCAGTTTTAGTCCCGACAGGACACCTACAAGCGGAAGCACCTGCCCGCCTCCCCACGACTGCCCTTAGCCAAGGCTCCTCCGGCTGCACCTCAAAACGGTTAACAGAGGTCAGGCCAGAGCCTCTGCTTCAGTGAGGAAAATTACTTTAAAAAGATAAAAAGCCTCAGTTAGCGCCGCTCAACTTAGCGTAACGCCGGCCACCTTACCGAGCGGCAGCCCCGCAGCCGCTCTCTGGCGCCTGAAGAACCGCCGCGCGACCCGCACCGCCCAGCGACCCGCGCCCACCGGCCAATGGGGAGGGCGCTGAGGAGGGAGAAGGCCCCGCCCAGGGGTGACATCATTCGCCGGCCGCTCGAACTCGCCATCTGTTTTCCCCCTCCCCGCAGGCCGGCTCTCAGGGATGGGCGGGGCCTCGCCCTGCGCAGGCGCAGTTCGCCGGGGTTCGGCGGCGGCAGTGCGACCGTTTCACTTACGTCAAAACAATTTACGACAGCGGTAGCGGCTCCGGTTGCTGTGGAGAGGCTCTCGGTGTCCCGCCACAGTACCGGTCTCCCGCCCCGCCGAGCCCCGGACCCACCGGCGGGTGAGAGCGGCTGTGGGGGGTGTCGCGTCTTCCCCGCGGGTCGGTTGGGGCATGGCTCGGGCCGCCCCCCGGGGGCGCCCGCACGTGGCCCGCGGTGCGGCCCAGCCCGGGGGGGGTCCCGGGGCACTGGCGCTGTAGCGTAGCCTGGCGCGGCGGGCAGGGAAGGCAGGCGGGCAGGGAAGGCAGGCGGGCAGGCAGCCAGCTAGGGAGGGGGTGGTTCCGCCTTCTCGCGGGTGCTCCCGGCCGGGCAGGGGAGCGGGCCGCCGCTGGGGACTCTTGTTTTAAATGATGAATGCCGTATTTTCTAACCCCGGTGCCGTTTTCTTCCGCGGACGTCACGCGAACCTTAAGGCGCTTCTCGATGCTGCGTGCGGGAAAAACGGGTACAAGTTTGGCGGGGGGGGGGGGGGCCCGAGCCACTCCGTTTGCTCTCTAGTGATTGTGCCTTAGTGACCGAGTGATGCAATATCAAGTCAGCTAACACTGGTCTTCATCTCAGCCTGCTGACCAATTTTTTTATTGCTTTCCAAGATTACTGTACTTCCAGCAAATTCCACTTTTCAAATCATGGAGGCAGAACAGATTATGGAGGGACAGCCGCAGGTATTGCAAGAAATGTTTTATGTGCATAACACTACATGCGTGAAAGGAGCATTTTCACTTTGCTGACTGTGTGTTATTTTACAGGTTCCAGAAAATCCCCATTCTGAATACGGTCTCACTGAAAATGTAGAGGTAACAAAGATTTTGTTGCTGTAAAGTACAGTGGAAGTCACATTCCCGATCAAGGGGAAAAATGTTGAGTCTTGAGTCATAACTGGCTGTTAATACATCTTCTGTTGTGTTGCTTCCATTATACTAAATGGTACTGAAGTAAATAGTGAACCTTTTAATGAGGTGGAGTTTTTTGGAAGTATCCTATGATTGTTATCTATTCCATCGCTATCTATTTTATACATATGTATCTTTACATATAATATATTATGCCACAAAAAGCCAGCCAGAATTTTATTACAGGGAGGGCAACAGGAGGAGTTGATGGCATTTCTTTAGAAGTATCAAAGGGAGGGATTGTTAGAAATACCGGATCAGAATAAACCAAGCTATCTTTAGTTAATTATGCTGAGAAAGAGTAGCCACAATCCATTCTCTCTGCTCTTGGTAACGGTGTGGGTTAGAATAATAACTCTATGACATGTATTTACTATTCCTTATTAAAGAAATGCCTTCAATCTCTCTCCATTCTAAGATTCTACTCTATGCTAAGCTTTTGCAGAAACTTTTCTTAAACGTCCTTTGTGACTCATCTCCCTGATAGCTGCTTGTCTGTATGCCTCAGCTTCCACTACAGAACCATAATGCATAGTATATGTTGGTTCCGTATTGGTAGACTCATGTACATTGCATTGAATATGTTTGGTTTACTAGCAGTGGTAGGGTATCCTTTTTTAACTACAGTTAATGGTGTAAGATGATTCAGCACTTTCTGACCAAAAGGCACCTGGAAGCATTTTGCATATGTTTTCTTTAAAAAGTGTCCATCTATACTTTAGTAGAGCACGGTCTCAAAGTGCTTGACTTTAATAGTACCCTTTGTCAGACTTCACCTGAATTTCTTGTGCTTTTAGCATTTTGTGTTAGAAGTGCGTGCATACAGGAACCATTTAATTGAGACCACTGTTGTTAGTAGTCATTCCTGTTGCAGTGGTGTGGAATTTAAATCTGTGAATGCAAAAGCAGAAATAAAAATGATAGAGATTGGGTCTCTTCTGTTTAGAAAACTCATGACTTCTGACATTGTTTCCCCAAAATAATTTAACAGAAAGCTCCTCTAGATTAGGTTTTTGTGCAAGGAAAAACATGCACTTAAATTTTCTTAAAAGATGTAATAAAGTTATTGCCAGTGAATTGAAGAGAGATGGGTACTTTGTTTGCACTCACACTTCAAAGTAGATGTGGCTGCTATTACCAATGTTCATTCTCTCTTTTTTTTTTTTTCCCTACTTCAGAGGATAGTAGAAAATGAGAAAATAAATGCAGAGAAAACATCAAAGCAGAAGGTGGATCTTCAGTCATTACCCACACGTGCCTACTTGGATCAGACAGTTGTACCTATCTTGCTACAGGGACTGGCTGTTCTGGCAAAAGAGAGGTAAGATGCCTCAATGTTCCTTTTGTTCTTAGGAAGAAAGTAGGTCTCAAACTTGGGTGGTATGTCACCTTTTCAGACCTCGCACCCCAGATGTGGTTTTGCTAGTTTGTTAGTTGTAAGAAAGTCATTAGAGCAGGTTTATGAACCTATGAATTACTATGACCATGCAGGACATGTTCCTCACTTAAGTGCATATGCTGTGATAAGAGTTATTTATTGAATACCCAATGAGGTATGCTACTGCGAAGGTTTTGGAGGGAAAAATGTTTGTGGTTTTTTTTACTAATTTTATCACATAATTCACCTTATAGAAGCAAAGCAAGAAGTTGTTCTAGTTTTGAACAAGATTTTTGTAGTGTGGAATTGTAAAGAGTTCTGTTTGCCATTTAAAAGAAAGACCAGACAGACACATCAGGTCTGACATGCATCTTTGTTGGAGATTAAAACACTTTCTAAAGGATGGGGCAGACCCTGCGCTGTCAACCCAGTAAGAAGCAAACTGATAGTTTATCCTTTTGAGTAAAGATGATGCTGTCAAGGTGCCCCAAATCTCTTATTAGTCAATGTAGAAGGGTATTCTTCAATAATAGCAAACAGTTGTTCATCTTATCCAAATTAATTTCTAGCCTTTTGGTGTATCCGAACTATTGGTGAGTTATACTGCATGTAAGCATTTCTCAATTTTGCCGAAATAACATTATCAAAAGCTGGTATCGATGACCATAATCACATCACAGTACCTACAGCCAGAACAACCATCAACAGTGTCTTAACCTCAGAAGGAGTTGTGAATTTGAACTGCGTTGTACAGACAGCTAATTAGGCAAAAGGGCATCGAGGAAGGTACACCCTGTGTGTACACCGGAGCAGTGTGCAGATCTTCAGTTGACACCTGTGGGAGTTCTACTGCAGACTGAATGTAAAACACAGCCTGAGGTGGATACCCCACACTTACAGTCTGGATACTTGTGTTACAGACAAACTTTTTTTTTTTTTTTTTTTTTAAAAAAACCAAACTTTGTTCACTATGGAAGGAGCTGTTCTTTGTGGGGACTCATCACAGGAGTGAAACTGGAACACCGATAGAAGAGGTTGGGGAATATATAGGAAAAAAAACTAACAGTATCAAACTTCCAAGGTCAAATTGGCTATTCAGTTGAGCATATTAAAACCTCAGAGGTGAAAAAGCTGAACTACAGGCTCTGCTGTATAATCTTCTGCTTAAAATTGAACTGGAAAGTAACTAATGGATGCTGATTTCTTTTTCTAAGAAATATAGGGATGTTCAGGGAACAGTCCAGCACATCTGATGACTATGCCTGGAATTCAGTAGAAATCCAGGATAGTGAGCATATGGATAAATGACATATTTAGGAGGAGTTAACACAACTTTTGTCAGGTCTTGCAAGTCTCTTGGAGCTCACTGAAGGAGTCAGTGAGCACACGTAAACAGGAATCCAAATGATACAGTCTTTAAATTTCCAAAAGGTTTCTGGCACAGTCATTCACTAAAAGCTTTTAGAGAGAGTTAGCTGCTGTGGGATTAAAGGAAAAGACTTTATATGGACAAGGAACTGACTGGAAGATATGAGAGAGAGTAGAAGCAAATGGTGAATTTTCATGGTGAAATGAGCTCAACACTAGAATCCTGGAAAGGATCATTTATAACAATTTGAAGAAGTGCCTGACAAAATCTGTTAATGATACTGAGTTTTACAGAATAAGATTGGGTTTTTTTGTGTTTTGTTTTCTGTTTGTTTTTTTTTTTAAGTTGATCGGTTATAAGTAATTGTACAGGAACTTCATAAACTTGATGTGAAACTATGGAAGACTGCTATGAAAAATTGAAACTATGATAAAAAGTGAAAGATTGAATACCAATAAACAGAAAATGATGCACCTAGGAGGGTAATAAATACCCTAATGCAAGTGACAAAATGATAGATTCTGAGTTGACAATTACCCCTGTGAAAAAAAAATCTTTAAACTGTTAAATGTATATGTCAGTGCATTGCTCAATCAAAAATAAACTCTGAATGGTAGGACTTAGAAATTGAAGGGGTAAAAACAAGCATAATGTCACTATTTAAATTTATAATATTCTTGTATTTTTAATATTGTGTGTAATTCCAATTCCCGTTTTCTGGTAGAATATGAAAAATTAAGGAGAGTGACAAGGTGATGAGAAGAATGTACTGCTATCTGTTTATGAAGTGACTGAATAGATGATACCTAGAAAAGAGACCTCTGTGAGACAATATATTAGGAATCTGTTAAATCATCATCAGATGATGAATTGGGATGCATTGTTTATTATCTCTTGTGATACAGTAATCTAATTAAGCGACGCAAGTAGTAAATTCGTAATGAACAAAACGAAGTGATCCTTCACAGGTCACATAATTAAGCTATATAACTTTTTGCCTCAGGTTGAGGACATTAACATTTTATTTGGGCTCAGGGGGCAACTGGTCAAAGTTGTAGAGGAATCCACCCATGACTACTAAAGGTGCTAGCTCAGAAAACTTGTACATGCTTGGAAGCCAACAGGATGGTCCAGAGAAGTATCTCTGCGCACTTCTTCCATTTTTTTAATGCTCTTTATAGGCATATTTGCTCAATGCCAGACCTTTGGTCTGACCCAGTGTGGAATAAGTAAGTTTGTCATGTATTCTGTGGACAGAATCCAGATTAGCAGGATGCATGTACTGTAGCTGGAGGAGCTTTTTAAAAAAAAACTTACAGACTAAGGCCAGTGATCAAAAGTGTTTATTATTGACTACTTGCAAGTTACAGCACTTCTCAGACTTGAAGTTTTTGTTGACATTTTGTTGTGTTCATATAAGTTGCCAGAAGCCATGAAAACGTCTCTAAGCACAAAGCTACTCAATAACCATTTGATGAAAATGAAGCAAGAAAGCACTGACAGATTTTTACTTTATATAGCATGAGTTAAAGAGATAGGCAAATGCATGTAACTTCCAATGATGTACATACAGTACTTATGTTTACAGATTATAGCCTAGTTCTAGGTATGTAACTTTCTAGCAATTTAGTAACATTGAACCAAGGGTGACTAAGACTCCTTATTAAAAACTTTCTTACCAGACATAAGCTGGAAACTTAGAGTAACTCTAGGTAGTTGGTCATCCCTAAATCAATGCTTAGAAGTGTTTCCGAGGAGTTATGTTCCTTTTAAGGGAAGGTGATTAGTTCTTCAGCTACCTAATTTAATATTAAAAAAAATAATTGCTTTTGATTTACTTTTTTTCTTTACAGACCGCCAAATCCCATTGAATTTCTAGCAGCATATCTTTTAAAAAACAAGTCACAATTTGAGGACCGAAATTAACTCCATAAAAATGATGACAATTTGGCTGCTAGACTGAAATGCTCATTTGCCGCAATTTGTTTTCTGCTGTAAAAATCCTTTGGAACCATGATGTTGTCTTTCTTAATCGCACAGTTTGCTTTACCGTTTGAGTTATTTAATAAAGAACACTTTACATTTAATTTGTTCACTTGTTTTAAACTAGCTATTAAGAGACTTTCAAAATAAAGTACTGAAACTGCACTGCTGGATGAAAGCCTGAGTACTTCCATGTGGCTACATCACCTGAAAGCATGAAACAAAGGGGAACAATTTATTATGGGAATCACATGGGTGATAATGTATATAACTTAATTTGATTTCATATAGCACCCTCCACATGCAACATGCCTAGACAGAAAGCAAACAAATTAAGAGCAGTTAGAATTTATTGTGAGGAAGTAGTAAGTACGAGTGATGAGTGGCATTCCTCATGGGTGGTGGGTATTGGGACTGGTGCTGTTTAACATCTTTGTCAGCAACATGGACAGTGGGATTGAGTGCACCCTCAGCAAGTTGCTGACAATACCGAGCTGTGTGGTGCGGTCAGTGTGCTGGAGGGAAGGAATGCTATCCAGAGGGACCTTGACAGGCTTGAGAGGTGGGCCCATGTGAACCTCATGAAGTTCAGGAAGGCCAAGTGCAAGGTGCTGCACGTGGGTTGGGGCAATCCCAAGCACAAATACAGGCTGGGCAATGAGTGGATTGAGAGCAGCCCTGAGGAGAAGGACTCAGGCGTATTAGTGGATGAAAAACTGAATATGAGCCAGCAATGTGCACTTGCAGCCCAGAAAGCCAGTCGCATCCTGAGCTGCATCAAAAGCGTAGCCAGCAGGTCGAGGGAGATAATTCTCCCCCTGTACTCCACTCTCCTTAGATCCCACGTGGAGTACTGTGTTCATCTGGGGGGCCTCCAACATAACAAAGACATGGACTTGTTGGAGCGAGTCCAGAGGAGGGCCACAGATGATCGGGGGGCTGGAGCACCTCCCCTATGAGGACAGGCTGAGAGGGTTGGGGTTGTTCAGCCTGGAGAAGAAAAGGCTCTGGTGAGATCTTATAGTGGCCTTCCAGTACTTAAAGGGGGCCTGCAGGAAAGATGGGAAGGGACTCTTTAACAGAGAGTCTAGTGATAGGACAAGGATAATGGTTTTAAACTGAAAGAGGGTAGATTTAGATTAGATATTAGGAAGAGATTCTTCACTGTGAGGGTGGTGAGGCACTGGAACAGGTTGCCCAGAGAGGTTGTGGATGCGCCATCCCTGGAAGTGTTCAAGGCCAGGTTGGATGCGGCTTTGAGGAACCTGGTCTAGTGGAAGGTGTCCCTGCTCATGCCAAGGTGGGTTGTAACTAGATGATCTTTAAGGTCCCTTCCAACCCAAACCATTCCGTGATTCTATTCTGTGAAGTAGAGAGCAGAAAAGTTGCTTCAGAACATCAGGAAATGGGTTTAGTTAAACAATTAGATTCAGCAGCTGAAAAGATCACCTGCAGACAGTGTCCAACATTTCAGATATTTACATTAATGAGGTGTGCTCTTCAGCATTTGTCATTGATCTCCTGTGACTGGTGTGCTGGATTTAACTGAAACACACAATAAAGCTTGAAGAGACTTGTAAAGGTTCTGTAATTCAATTCTCTGTATTGCTAGCCCTAGCTGGAGCATTCTTTCAGTGTCAAAGATAGAGTATCTTGCGTTGGAAGGGACCCATAAGGATCATCAAGTCCAACTCCCTGCTCCTCGCAGGACTACATAAAACTGAACCATATGACTAAGAGCATCATCCAGATGCTCCTTGAACTCTTGACAGGCTTGGTGCCTTGACCACTTCCCTGGGGAGCCTGTTCCAGTGACTGACCACCCTCTCACTGAAGAACCTTTTCCTAATGTCCAAGACAGTCCTAATCTACACAGTAAAATAGCAAGTATTCTGATTTTTTTTCCTTTGGGTTTACTAACACCTCTTCCCCGCACCCACCCCGCCATTCTTAATATCTTTTTCTGACCCCTTGTTTATTTTTCCTGTAATCTCAGTAGGGGTAGAGGCCACAGACCTCAGGGGTACAATATAAGAAGCCGCAACAGAAGACTGGGGATTGGAAGAAAAAGCTAGAATTAAGACAGTAAACAATATGTTGTGAAAAAATACTAGCAAAGCTCTGAAAATAGGAATATGGTAGCTGGAGAACTGGATTGCTAGGTAATTGGCAATGGGTACAAGGACTAGACACACCCCTCAGAATTCCATTTTTGTTTTCTGAAACTTGTAACAAGGAGCATTATCAATGTTGCTCACTAGCACTGGATACTGGAATCTAGATTAAGCATAGCCCAGTTTTTAATAGACCAGGAGAATGACCATAATTTGTTTGACAGTCACAGAAATGGTAAACTTGGCTTCCAACAGTTGCTCAATTAATCAAAATCCTAAATTTTTATTCAAATAAACTTCGATATTGCCATTTTACCATTCCCATCTCCATTCTGTATTTCTTAGCTAATTGCTTTAACATAGCAAGCAGTTAAAACCTTGTAAATTAAATTCTTTGCTGCAAGGGTTGGGGTTTTTCCTGTATGACATTAAAGGCTGCCTAACTTTTCAGTAATTATGCATAAATTCACAAAAAAAGAGACTTAGGACTCTCATTTGACTTGCTCCTGCAATGACTTAAAGACATCCACTGTATTTGCAATATATTAGGTGGCCCACTGCACAAATGATATTTTCCCGTAGTTCTCTGACATCTAGACTACTTTCCTATGGTAATCTTTTTGTTTGTTTAACTTGTTTTAACAGCTTTTCTTCTTTAATAGCTTAGATACATGGGTGTAAGAGTGGCCAGAAGATAGATCCTTCAGAGGAGAAAACTTCAATTTTCATTTCTCTGCTAAATTGCAGGGGCTGGAATGAGATCTGGCTGTTATTCCTAGTAGGAAGGCTCTCAGTATTTTACATTATTTCTCAATATGCTAAGAGGAAAACATTGAATTAGTGTAGTCCAAGAGCAGCAAGATTGGGGAACAAAAAAATGGAAAGAAATCTGCAAACCCAAAACCAAGCCTAAAAAGCTCCATTTTAGAAAATGCAAAGAAATTGTGGAATGAGATTACTAATTCTATTGCATTGTGGTGAACACAGTCTCCATCAAACACTGACACTTAAAAAAGACACTGAAAGGATTTTAACAACAGTGTTTTGACTTTCTGGAATGAATAATAACATTTAAGTGAAGACAAGGAGACACCATGAAGACTTGGTATTGCTATTTTTATTGCTAAAGCAGCATTCCAAGGTTCCATCCATAGGTGACAACATCACAAGATTGTAAGAATTGTTACACGTGGGGGGTGGGGAGAACAAAAAAATCTATGCTGATCCCCAATTTCTATGTTGAGAATTTGTGTGAGACCATACAAAAAGAAGCAGCTCAACTCTTAATTTTCCTTAGGCAGAGCAATTGTCCTGTAATGTATCACCATGCCTGAATTCAGAATACCATCAGATTTCTCAGCTTACAGTAACACCCTTGAAGCAGCTACACAAAAGCTTGTAAACATGCTGGGTTTCTCACAGCTCTTGCATCAACCTACAACCTTAAAGTATGAGTACCAGTCCTAAGGCGAGCTGTCCCTGCCAGCAGCATGCCACCGACTCAGCTGTTGGTGCCACCCTTTGGTATACAGTGTCACTTGCTGTTGTCTTCCCATGTAAGCTAGTTCAAGAGAATGAAAAAGTCATGTTCACAAGGTGATGATGTTCGAAGATTTACTACAGCTGTTTTTCTGGGCAGCTCCCTCCAAGAAAATAAGTTGAAATGTTACTAGCAGCAGTGAACTCACCAGCTCTAAGAAATAAATTTTAGTGATTCTTGCAAAGGCATGACAAGTCAATAAGAAAAGTGCAACCATATTCCTTTACTTGTTAAATTGGCTTCACCAATTGGGATCTGCTGCATCAAGAATACTCTGTAATGGGAAGAAGATAGCAAGTTACTATCATCTGAATAATCAGATCATATCTGAATAATCCAGTTCTCAAAGTTAGGGAAGTAATGATAAAGTCCAAATTTTCAAAGCATTTACTTGTTTTAAACTCTCCCCACTACAAAACAATGAAAATTCTGTGAAGAGACTTTGACAGACACTTGCTATCCCCGTTTAATCCAGAAAGAAAGAAGTACTATTTTTCCACAGGAAACACCAGTTCTGAGGGCTTCAAGGTAAATGTATTTAATTTTGAAGTACAAATTAAAACCCAAGTGATTTTACATTTATAAAAATGAGGAACTCATCAATAAAATGGAGAACAGATGTAAGGGGCTACAAGTTATTAGTGGATGTAGAATAAAAGCTTGAAGAAATAAGAAGTTGAAAATGGCAACCTTAGACAGGCCCCTGCTAAGTAGCTGAAAGCCACTGTCTCTTGATTCTTGAACAACTATTTTTCAGTTTTCTCCACACTACCCTAGCTGAGTCAGTATATGCTCTGAAGGGCAGTAAAATTCAGCAGCAAATAAAACGGAATGCCTGGTTAATACCACAGCACACCTTCCAAGGTGACTATTTTAGATCCAATATCCAGAAGTTACTATTCAGTAACTGTGAAAGAATTATATGTGACTCATACACAGTATTTTGAAGTCTGCCTTTTTAAATGCTTCCACCGAGAATATTATCTTTTTACCTTGAAGGGGACAGTGACAGAAGAAAGGATTTCCCACTAAAAGCAATTCTGATCAAAGGGTTCTAAATCTTCATATTCTGAAGCCTGTTACCACCTAAAAATAAAGTTTGACTTGCCAAATCTTTTTTTTGCATCTCCGATTTATCAAGGACTTTCTCCAAAATCAGTACAGGTCTTTGAGCTATCCATTTTATTTTCTGAGGTGCTGTCACTATTGTAAATGCAGTCTGATCAAAAGAACTTCTCTCTCCCCATCAGACTTTGTAGAAATAAAAGAGCTGCTTTCAAACAAATGAAAAATCTGAAAAACTCTGAAAGATACAAGCAGTTGAAACCAGTAGGTTGGAAAGGAAATACATGAGAAGAATCCCTATGCCTACCGTGCTTGATAGAATACAGGTTTTGATTTATTCTTATCATTGTACTAATTACGTAACAAATTATTCTTAGCCAAGCCTTAGCTTGTGTTCCCTATTCTATTTCATAGTCAGAATTCATTTTAAGAGTGACTACATAGCC